AAAAGATATTTTATAGACGAAGGAATTACATGTAATTCTTTAGAAGAAGCATTTGTGAGGTGCGCAGAGGAAGATGACGTCTACAAGGTAGCTCTTGTTTACTTTGCTGAGTTAGTGGTTGGACAAGCATTTGAACATCAATCTAAATTACCTGACCCTTGTAGAGGACTTGGATGCGTTCAACAGGTATTCGTGGGGTTCGGTGTCCTTTGACAAAACCCAAGACAGTCTATTTTCTGCACCAACAAAGTATGTGAAAAGCTTTGAAAATGAAGAGGGAAGAGGGAAGGGGAAAAGTAAGGTAACGGGAACAAGCCAAAGAAATGAGAAGGGCAAGAAGGATAAGCATGGTGAAGTGCAAAGGGGTGGTTGGAGTTTTAAAGGTTTTACGTATGCTTTCCAAGTACATGGTAATAATGTTCATGTCAGTTATGTTTTGTGGAATTTAAAACTTAAATACTAACTTTTGTCCTGTGGATTGTAGATTTGGGTATATGAATTAATTCCTAGAATGGCGGACCTGAATTACTGCAAGGTTGTTGACCGACAGCTTTCCAACATATTTTGCGATGGAGAACTACTACGGCTGTTCCCGAGATGAGAAAGTTGAACAATTATTTTTTCCAGAGCAAAGAGGTTTGGTTTGCAACCCTTGGAACTATTTATAAGATTCAATGAAATTATGAAGTAGAATGATTGCATATGACTTTTGTCTATATTCTGAAACAGTCAGTTCAGTTGCGGGCGCTATGTCCGAGTGAAGAGGAAATGAGACAACCATTATGGAGTTGGCCACAGGATTGCCCTGCTGTTGTCTCGGCAAAGTCAATTCCTTCTTCATGTGCTAACCTTAATGAGTTGAACAAGGCGGTAAGCTTGTTGAGGTCCGAGTTGTTTCATGTAAAACGGGAAAGGGACGTCCTTGAGTTAAAGGTCATACGGATGGAAAAAATGTTGGACCACTGTTTAGGTCCTCATTTTGAGCAGGAAGTGAGAAGGGACATAGCTTTACTGAAAGAGAGGACGAATCGTTGTGTCGTGTCACATCTATTTTGGAGATATGAGGAAGTAGATGGCATGCAATGGGATGAAGGGCCAAGTAACAGAAATGAGGGAGAGGAAAATGAAGAGGAGGACATTGAAGGGGGTGAAGGGCCAAATAACAGAAATGATGGACAGGAAAAAGAATAGGAGGGGATTGAAAGGGGTGAAGGGGCGAGTAAGAGAAATGAGGGAGAGGAAAAGGAAGAGGAGGGGATTGAAGGGGGTGAAGTGCAAAGAAAACCAAGTGAGGTAGAGGAAGCTCAAAGGAAAAGAAGTGAGGGAGAGCAAGTGAAAATAAAAAGCAGCAAGGGAGAGGAAGGGCAAAGAAAGAGCATTGAGGGAGAGGAAGTGAAAAGAAAAAGCAATGGGGGAGAGAAACTGCAAAGAAAAAGTAGTGAGGGAGAGGATCCGCAAAAAAAAAGAAGGAAGGGCAAGGAAGTGAAAGGACAGAGAAGTGAGAAAAAGGAAGTGCAAAGAAACCAATGTGAGAAAGCGGATGATGAAGTTATGTTGCTTGGCGATGACATTGGCGAGAGCACGGAGGGGACAAAGGTTGAGTTTACTCTCGGGGCCATTGATTTGGATCAACCTACAGCTGTGCTATCTCAGTTGAACGTTTGGTTGAATGATGAACATAAAGCAGTGGAACGAAGGGTCCAATTACGGAAGAGGAAGAGGATTATTCCTATGTGGAAGATCTTTGAAGCTAGTGAATTGGTTTAAAAAAATTTGCCAGGGACAACCCGACTTTGGACGTTAGACCCAATGAAGGCAATTCCGCATGATGATATGGTGAAATTGCTGAAACTTTGTTGGGAATGGCGCCATAACCCAAAGTAAGTCCCTTGTTTTTTGAGATAGAAGACATGAGTGTATATATTTTTTAATTGTTGTGTTCTAAAACTTTTTTTGTATTCATAGTTTGGTAATGCAATTTGGCAACGTGGAAGCTGAGATTGAATTCTTCGCTTCCCTCGTCAAAGCTGACGGTTGGCTGAAAGGAGATGTAAGTTTAATTGATTATGCAATTGTTTGAATGTACATATATTATGAGATTGACAAGAAAAACATGTGCAGCACATTGATTTGGGGTTGTATCTCATCCGGAAGCGACAACAAGAGTTGGAGGAAGTAGAAATATCGGACTGGACAACGACTGATGTATTTTTTATGGTATGTGATGCAGGATGCATAGGACCTAAATTGTTTAGTTTCCTATATTTTTTAGTTTTCCAAATCCTAGTAGGATTTCTAAGTTTCCTATTTTTTTAGGAATAGGATTTCTGTTTTAGCTGGGGATTTTAATTCTATTGTCTCTAGGTTTTAGTTTGCTATAAATACCCCTATGGGGTTCACCAAATGACCACCGCCGAGACATTCATGGAGTTCAGGTCCTGCCTAGACACGGCCATGGCGTTAGGTCTGTTGGACTCGGCTCAGCTGGATGAGCTATAGGCTCGCTTGGCCGAGGGCGAAGAGATGATCGGTCGATACGCTGAGGCGAACATGAGGATGGCCGAGGGGTGCTCGCTCGAGCAAGAGCTATCAGTGATAAAAGAACAAGTCCAACCTGCCATGGCCCGTCTGAAGGAAAATGACCTCGTTGTCCAAAGAGAGAATGAGGAACTTGCGCAGGTCGTGGTTCAGATCGCCGAGCTTCAGGCCCGTTGAGATCTCATCCTTCAACGCCGAGATGGTGCGGTCGCGGTCGGAACCGAGCTGAAGTCTTCGACCAGGCAAATCCTCAGGGCAGCGAACCAGAAAAAGAGGGCACTGGCCGAAAGGAGGCTAATCTGGGCGAGGTGGCAGGCGGACATAGATGGTGGGGACATTGCCTGGAGAAGGATAACATGCCTAATATGGGGGATGTTCAGTGAGGGGGTTTAGGTGGGCAGGTGTTTCAAGATTTTGGGATGTAATAATTTAAACATTTCCTTCTTGTTCCATACAGACACATAAATATACGCATATATTCTCTTCCCCTTTTTTGTTCTAATCGGCCATGACTAGCTATTCTTTTTTCTTTTTGTAAAAAAAAATGATCTCTTCATCTATATACAAGGCGTAGGCCTTCTTCTCTAAATGATTGAATGTATGTTGTTTGCTTTATATTGGCCGCATCGTTTGTTCAGCTCGCTCGCCTACCTCCCCCTATTTTTCTTTTTGACTTTTTTGTCGTAGGCCCTTGATGCCATTTTTTCTTGAACACGCACCGAATTGTATGCGTCGAGCCTTGACCGTTTTAAATTTTCTAAACTCCGGGGCGCGGTTTGCGCATAGTCCTTCGTCTTTCGCCTAAGTCGCTTGAAAACTCGAAGAAATCGAACCTCTAATTCCAATAGTTTATCAATGTCGTGCCCGTAGGTCAAGACAAAAGGAGAGGTGCCCATGGCCGAGTGTTTTGATGCGCGGCATGCCCAAAAAGCCTTAGGGAGCAAGTCACGCCAAGTCCTGGGCTTCTCAGGTGGGTATGACTCAGTATAACTTGGTGCCCCCGGCCGCCTCTGGGCTAAGCCGTCCTTGGTCGCGCGCCGGACATCTTCGGTCCGAGGATACTGAAGGGGCGACTCCAGCTAGGTTGGAAGTGGCCGCTGGACTTGTTGCGCATTGTTCTGCGGCTTTATCTGCTGGGCCACTTGAACAAGGGGTTCGGCTATTGCAACCGAGCCGGGCGACATCAGATCAGCACTGTAGGTTTGATCGGGGTGCGTATGTGTCGCTGTTGGAATGGCCGAACCGCACTGAAGGTGGGAGCCTGGCGGAAATAACGACGTCTGTGACAAGGTAGCGGTCGCGTTGCTTGGGCTAGGATGTGTCTGGACGGCCACGGTGTGAACTGGGCCGAGGTGCTGGACCGCGAAATGCGTGTGGCTGCTTTACCCCAATGACACGGCCAAAGCATGGAGTGGGCTGTATGCTGTTTATGGTGGGCCGACGGCTGAGAATGCTGGCCGTAGCCTGACGCTTGGGTTCGGGCAGAGGCGCCAAGGTTGCTGCTTTCGCCGTAGGGCTCAAACCTCTAGCGCTCTTGGCTTCTCTGTCCGGCTCTGGAGGCATCGCGGACTACGTCACCGACATCCTCTCCTGAAAGAGCGTCCGTAGCTTTGAGGAGAATCTGTCCGTTGCGGCCATAAAGGATGTCTCTATCTTGTAGGCCTGCTTAGCCATCAGATCCTCCACTACTGCTTGCTCTCCCATGGACTCAGCTGCACGATCCGTCGTTATTGGAATGCTGGCCGAGATTTTGACCGCATGTTCGGTCTCGGCGATAGTGATTGGTGAGGTGGAGTTAAGAGCTTCGGAAGTCATTTTGACTGTGTTGTTTTTGAGCTTTGCTTGTGCCCTAGTTTCCACCATAAGTTTTTGACAAGTGTCCCACCAAGCGTGCCAAAAGTGTTGGCTGCGCAAATCTGACGGCCTGGTGCTCCGGGCCGAGGGGATGTGCGTTAACACGTGACGTCCTTCTTTTAGATGCAGTGTAGTTGTGCGCGGGCGTGCCAGCACGTTCTACCGTGCGTCGAGATGGTGATGAGGTTTGGGTCGAAGATGGTTTAAATGATGCGCCTGTTTCGAGTTCGACTCCTGATCAAACGATTGTGGCCAAGAGAGGAACTGATCTCGGCCGTCAGGTTCACGGCCTGAGCTACAAGGCCGTTTAATGGTGATGTTGGTGGTGAGTTTTAGGCGGTGCTCCGGCACATTTCTCAGAGAGCGACGGTCGTATGATATATAGGGTGAATGAGATGACAACAGAGATGGTGCTCCGGCATCTTAAAAATCAAGGGTCGTATAATATGTTGATGAATGGATTTTCCTTACAGTTTACTACTACTCCTAGGAAAGCAAATAAATGTATTGAAAGTGCATTACAGGAAAATATAATTTGCTCCGTGGGAGGCTTTTGGTTTGGTGTTTGAATCCTTTGAATGTAGTCTTGAGCTTAGTATTTATTGGGGGAGTCCTGGAGGGACAATCGAGGCTGAAAAGATCTGCGTGATGCAGCCTGATCGGGGTAAGTGGGTAGTCAAATCGGAATTTGGGATCGTGAAGCATGGTGGTGCGACTCCCATGGATCTGGGTAAATCTCGGCCACCGCCCTGATCGTGGGTTCTGCCCTCTTGGCCGTGGGAATGCATTTAATGCCCTGGTTTGGTGGTTGGTGATTTGACCTCAAGTTGTAAGCATACTTGTGAGAATGCTTGTGCCTAACCACTCTGATCTCTATTTCCAAATCCTGACTTCAGTCACTTCCCCTCTTCCCTCGTGCATTAATTGCTTCATGCGACTAGTGGGCTTGCTGCGATAGTCAAAGGTATTACTTCATTAAATGGGGCGTGGGACCCTGAGACCACGTTGCGATTTGACCGTAGTGCCTTCGGCCATGTCTTTTACGGCCCTCGACTTTGGCTCATAATAACGCGGTCGCGAGGCCAAGAAGATTCTGCCTTCGCAGCTTTTCTCTTGTTTTCAGGAAGGCGAAATGCCTAACGAAACGTGGCCATTTCGGTCCATGGGTAGGTGCTAGGGCCGAGAAAAGGTCCCTTCGGTCAATTTATGACCGTAATTTATTAGGCAAAAACACACCCACATACATATTCTGGAAATGAAAACTTACATAGGAGGTTAGACACTTCCAAAATGGCTTCCCTCGATTTTTATCTGATTTTGAAACCCGAAGCACCATTGCAACTCCACAATACTGACACCTCTTTGTTTGAGCGGGAGATGAAGACGAAGACATGTTGAATCTTATTAATTGTACCTCTTCTCACTGAAACCTCTTCAGACTCATACCTTCTCACTCATACTTCTCAGTCATACCCCTTCACTCATAACCCTAAACTTCTCACTCAGCTCTCTCTCATCTCTGCCCAATTGTATCATTCTTTTCTATGTATGGGTGGGTTGGTCATGATCTGGACACCTGTACCGTCAGAATTATGACACATTTTACCCCGAAAGGTAATATAATATTTCACTACCAAATATTAATATAAAAATTGAGGGGACACTGCTTTAAATATATTATTTTCTTTATATTTCATTAAGGGAACTAGTTGGATAAGAATCCGTCATTTACTAGGGGTAGTGTGGTGTGGGAAAATGAAAAAGTATCTGATGGGACCTTCTGTCACTAGTCAGTAATCCATCACATTTGTGTCAATGAATTTGATGGCGAGAAAAGCCTAAAAATGGCTATGGAAATAGATTATTAATTTACTTTTAGACTGTCTGACTCCCTTTGCATTTCAATGACGTTTTCCCTTCTCTTGTCTTGAGTTTTGGGTTGGGTTCAGTTTCTTTAAAAAAAGGTCAACTTGGAAAAACCCCAAGGAAACACCTTTTCAAAACACTACAAACAACGGCTAAAACAAAACCAAAACCCCATATATTCTCATTTCTCCCCTCTTCCACTCCTCAAATCGTTCCATTCCAAAAATATTTCAATGAATTCGAAACATTTCACTACACTCGGAGGAAAGAGAAGGAAGCATCTCCATTTGGATATGCCCCAAGCCTTCATCCTGAAGTTAGCTTGGTTTAAAGTGATGTTATATGTGGCAACCCAATCATTGGAAGATCTCGTTCGTATGGCATCTGTGTGCCCATTGTTCAATACGTTGGCAAACACTCCACAAGTGTGGAACACCATTTCAATGGAAAAGTACCAAGACCATCCTAACTGGTACCATGCCACAATGTAGGTCCCGCATTTCGTATAACAATGCAGGGCTTGCGAGAACCCTGAGGCGATATTTAGAGAAGCGTTCGAAGTGTTTTTCATGCAAGGTAATGTGGAAGCATTGTCTGGGATGCGCATTGCAGCCACGACAGGCCATATGGAATGGGCATATCTAGTTGGACTACTTGGCATGTCTGAAATTGGTCAGTCAAAAGAGGAAGCATTAGAATTCTTGTGTTCTTTGAATCAACGTAACAACATTGATATGAAAGGAATCAGGGATGCTTTGAGACAAAGATTAAGCCGAGTTTTCTCTGTTAGAAGACATATCGTAGATATGTTTCACTATGGGAAGATTAAGTTCAATCATTGCAGCACTTGTAACAACAACAAATGGTGTTTTGTTATTCAAGGCTGGCTTACAGAAGAAAAGATAAATCCTGCCTTCGGGACTTGTTGCAATCGATGCAGATAGCACCATTAGAGTGTTTTTTGGTTCAAGGTGATGCATGTCTATGTTGTGCCAGGGAATCCATACCCTTATAATTAGTTGTAGTATGTTTGTGCGGTTTTTATGCATTGTCTTGCTTCTGTTCAGGTCTAGGTTGGCTAGCTAAGTTGTACAAATGTTGTTTTCTATTTCATGTTTTAATCTATTTTGTCTGGTGTTTGTGTTGTCCTAAACCGTTTTATATATAAATGTATAATATATGTTATATGGTGGAATTATTACTGACATAATAGACGATTACGAATGACATTTTACTGACACAGATATTTTGCACAACTACAATCTTAATATTTGGTAAACGAAAACGCATGCATGGAGTGAGTATGTGTCTTTTCACTGGTGCTTGAGAATGATATTTTCCCACTTAGCATATCTCAAATGATTTGGTTACATGTTTCTTAAGCAAAACTTGAACAGTGAATGACTTTGAATAATTATTTCCTGATGTTGTAGAATGGATCGCTTGTATATTTCCATTTTATTTTTTAAAACATCCCTTAAACCTAAAAAATAAAAACATTAACAAATTGAAGAGGAGAGAAACTGATTAGCACCAGAAATGGTCTATTCGCACGAAAAATAAAAATAAAAATAAAAATTTGGAGTAAATATAATTAACAAATGTACAAGCTAAAAAGTAATATAACAATAATAAGAGTAATAATTTAGGATAAATAATAATAAAATACTAATGTAGCGTAACCATGAAACAGGAAATTCAGGAGGAAGATGAAATCTCAATGAGTTCGTAGCAATTTTCGAAACATTATTGTGATTTTTGTGTATTTAGTTATGAATTTTCTCTCTCTCTCTCTCTCTCTCTCTCATTTTGAACATGGATGAAGACCCAATTCCTTCTTCAGAACCACTCGACCTTAACACCATTCAGAGGTCTCTGTCTGTCTGTCTGTCTGTCTGTCTGTCTGTGTAGATTGGATTTTGTTTATTTTCTGAATTATTGTTTATTTTGTGTTTAAATTTGAAGACAAGTGAGAGAGCTGGAAGCGATTATCGAAAGTTGTCGCCAAAAATATGCCTCAGAATTATCCCCTTCAGATTCTGATGATTTAATCAGAAACTGCGGTCTCCTCCTCCAGGTTTTCTTGAAATTAATCCCACTTTTTCGTCCAATTTGCACAATTCCTTGCATTTCCCTAACTCTCCATGTGAATGTGCAGAGCAGAGCAGAGTTGAACCGCTATCAGAATGCTCTGATGTTGGTCTCTTAGAGGATCAAGAATTTGGTAACTTCTCCTCTAATATATCTGTCACTGTGTTTTTCTTTACCGGGCAATCGATTTTGCTAGTGGGTTTGTGACATTTAGTACTAGAACTTACTGCACTATGGGATTCGTCCAATTTTTGTTAGAAGTATACTTAGGGCGTTTTGAGCAGGAGCTCAACTCTGTGGAGGCTGAGAGCACCAAGGTCTCAAATGAAATTGAGGGTCTCATTCGGACCCATGGGGAAGGTGAAGATTCAGTCTTCAGTGTTCCTCGCCATTGTGCATTGATATTTAATGTATGATTTAATTTTTCGACCTTTTCTGTTGTATATGCGGATTTTAATCGACTTGGCCCTGATATTGCACAGTTGAAATGTTCATTAGATTTTGTTGAAGAAAAGGTTGGTTTTCCGTTGGTGAAACATTATCAGCTTTTTTGGATCAGACTCTTTGGTAGTATGACAAGGCATGCAGGCCAATTTGTTTGATACAAATGGGTTTGAATGGAGACCTATAATCTGCTCTTTCTTACAAGTCTGTGAATAAAGGTTGAATTTAATTACAGTTATCTGGTGTGTACACATGTTGTAATTTATCCCTTTATCCCTTTAATGTTACAGTTGTTGAAAATTCCCAGATTTCCATGGTGTAGTAATCTGCACATTATGCGATCCCTTGTTGGTTGTTTCTTTGTTCTTTTCATTTTCTCACTTTTGCTTGACTACCTCACCCCCCAGGTTGTATATGATATCCTTATTTCCATAAGTTGGGAATGTTTGAATTTTATTTGGAAATCACATATCAAATCTTTCAAGATAATAGCTGTGTACCATTTTTAGGATCTGGAGAAAGCAAAACTGGGTGCAGATGTTGATTACCATAAATGTGGGAAAGATCTGTTGGATCCGATGAATGTGAATGCAGACAAGTTTGAGGTTTCATTCAAAATCATATTTTACAATACTGTTTGCTTCTAGGGTATTATATTAGTTAAGGCTGAAATAATACGTACAGACATTCTGAGGGTCTTGATTCTTATGTAAGGAGTTAGCTTAAAGAAATTTTGAGGATGCAGTTACAGATCCTTAAGGTCATTGCTTTTGAGGGAAACTGCGTTAGGTTGTCACTTAGGACATACATTCCAAAGTTGGAAGACCTTTTCTCTCCAAAAAAGTTGGAGATGCCACTGAGCCATCTGAAGTAAATCATGAGCTTCTAAATGAAATTCTGGAGGGGACTATGGGTTTAAGGAATGTTGAGGTATCAAAACATGATTATCTCAGGACATCTTTCTTCATTAGTGTCATTGTTTAATAAAGCTTAGAATTAGAGGTATTACTATAACATCAAAGACAATATAGCACTCATGCGATGCTCCCATCTGTTGCTGAACCATGGTGGCAGGTGCTGGGCACTGTTGGCAGTGCCTGCATGGCTTGGGCTGACATTGCAGTGCTCCACCCAAGGGTGACACCATGCCAGCCCCTTCAATGTTCTTTCCAAAAAAATAATAAATTTTTTTTCTCTTACGTAATTTCATAGAGATGAAATTGCAATTATGTTTCTTTTTATTTTTTGCTTTGTCAAAGTTGGATGGGGTGAGTATTTTTAAGAAAGAAGTAAGCTTAACACCCTGTGCATCTTTTAAATGAGTTGCTACAGCTCTCGAATTTCTTATGAGCACTATACTCTGGATCTTTTAAATACATTGATGATGATATCTCATTTTTCCAGATTTTTCCAAATGATGTATACATAAATGATATTCTTGATGCTGCAAAGTCTTTGAGGTTTGTTTTTCCAGTACCCGTCTTATGATTTCAAAAATTTGTTTCTTTCTTTGTTGTGACTGTAGGGTTTATTTCAATATTCTTATGAATAAGTATAAATACTTGGTGACCTTATTTCTGATTACTTTTCCACAAAAGGTGCTATTTATGAAATAAAAATAAAAATTCAGTATATTGCTTCATTGAGTTCATGAAATCCACTTTGCAGGAAATCTTCATTGCAGTGGTTTGTAACAAAAGTGCAAGACAGAATAGTTCTATGCACCATGAGGCGACTAGTGGTAAAAAATGCAAACAAATCAAGGTGAGACATTTTCCTTAGCAATTTTGGTTTTTGTATATTCATTATGCTCTTAAATATTTTCAAATGTTTTCATTTGGAATGCATCAATCCATGCAGATACTCATTGGAGTACTTGGATAAAGATGAGACAGTAGTAGCTCATGTGGTTGGAGGAGTTGATGCATTCATCAAGGTTGCTCAAGTTTGGCCATTGTTAAGTTCTCCATTGAAACTGATATACCTCAAGAGCTCTGATCAACATTCAAAGGGAATTTCTTTAAGTTTTCTGTGCAAGGTTCAGGTCAGTGCACACCTCCTCATCTCTTACTAGTTTCCTAACTTCGGGGTGGATATTTGAGAAATTTCATCAAATTGATGGCAGTTGCAAGCATGCCTAGTGAACTTAAAATTTGGATATTTTGGTTTCTTTTGAACCAGTTTGAGCTTATATAAAAATATACAAGAAGTTCCTACCACTGGATTTGACAGCCTGGGTAGCTTCCAGTGCATCATTCTCCTCAGCCTTCTTCAGTCGCTTCCAGTTTTGCTCTTCATGCAACTCAGCATCTTTTTGCATCTCCTTTAGCCTAGCAGCTCTTTCTTCTTCTGAAAGTTTAGGAGCAACATTTCAACGCTTGTAGTGTGATTCATTCCGACCTTTCATGGGGTATTTTTCTAGTTCTAAATTGTCATGTTTTCCCTTGGCATCACCTTGACCATCATCTCTTCCAATTTTTATGAACTGATTCTTCTCACCTTGGCGTTCTCTGTTACGTGATTCATCTTCCGAATCTGAATGCTTAACAAGGTTTTTCTCACTTCAACCTGCTCTTTTACGTGATTCATCTTCTGAATCTGAATATTTAACATGGTTCTTCTCACTTTGCTGTGCTTTGTAACAGGATTCATCTTCGGAATCTGAATGCTTAACATTGTTCTTCCCACTTCGAAGTGCTCTGTTACGTGATACATCTTCTGAACCTGAATGCTTAACATGGTTCTTCTCACTTCTCCGTGCTCTGTAACGTGATTCATCTTCGGATCTGAATGGTTAACAAGATTCTTCCCACTTCGGCGTGCTCTGTTACTTTATTCATCTTCTAAAGTTGAATGTTTAACATGGACAATATGCATCATCGGTAGGGGAGCCCACGTAGGGGAGCCCACGGCATACAAGATTTTTAGAAAATGATTATTCATCGTGGACAATATGCATCATCGCTAGGGGAGCCCACGACACCAGGCTTGCCGATCGCAGGATAGAAACATGAATGCCCACTGGACGCGTGGCACATCCACAGTGAATGTCCACAATCCCACATCGAAATTCTACACAACTTGCACACCTCCCAAAGTTTATAAAAGGTGCACAATTCCCCAAAATGGGGGTAATCAGAACTTACGGCATACTGCCTATTGATCTGTTAGTTCAGGTTAACTAAGTCCGTACTTACTTAAGCATCGGAGAGCATTCGGCCGGTACCACACCGGTGCCTAAAGGTCTTACTGAGCGTGTGTTATTTTACAAATCACGTGCTCTAATGAGGCCCAAAATCATACCGAATGCCCAACATCACTAAGTTGGCCTCAAGAACTGCCGAACCCTTTTTTAGCGTCAACATGGTTCATCTCACTTCTCCGTGTTCTGTAACGGAATTCATCTTCAGAATTTGAATGCTTAATAGGGTTCTTCCCACTTCGATGTGCTCTGGTACTTGATTCATCTTCTGAATCTAAATGCTTGACAGTGTTCTCACGTCGACGTGCTCTTTTACGTGATTCATCTTCTGAATCTGAATGCTTAACATACTTTGATAGCTTACAATGACCACTCTTCCTCCTTTCCACTTCAGTAGTGTCATTTTCTGAATCTAATGCTTGTATGGATGATGAATGTTTGCTATGCTTTGAAGCACAAGTTTGGTGCTTCTTCTTCTGATGTTCCTTCTTGTCATGCAGTTTCTTTGCGGCTTCTTTGCTTCAACCTTTTATTGAAAAAAAAAAATTAATCAGCATAGACATGTTAAACATTCTCTTAAATTAATCATAGACATCTACTAAAACCCTGATAAACTCGGTAAAAGACCCAAAAAAACCCTAGTAATAAAATGCTATTGTGGTGTAAACCGTCGGTGCAAACCATGGCACGTGAACAGAAACCCAGCTACAACTGTTTGAAGTTACTGCTAGCAGAACTCTAATTATTTACTCAAGTTAAAAAGAAATTGAGAGGACTTATAGATCTACCGAGGTCATGATCCATGGGACAAAAAGATCTTCCTCATAATTAGAGTCTAGCTATAAGCTTCTGTAATTAACAAGTCTTGTCTAACCAAGCCACGACTGCATCACTTGAATAAAAACTAACCCATTACTACAGTCAAGTTAATTTAATTCCATTAATGCCTTTAACTTCTGCATTAGCTCCTCGTGAATGGTTGGTCCAAAAATGCTCTCTGGAGGGAGCATTAACACTGAAAAGTTCTGGTCTTAGTTGTACTCTTTTTCTTCTTCTCCCTGTTTTTTTTTTTCTTCAAACTTTCATCCTCTCTGAGCCAGTTACATCATTTTTCTTCTTGGCAGCCTGCCTTCATACACACTACTTCCACATCCAACTCGTTAATTTTCCCAACGAACTATTTTTTCTTCCAAATATCAGGCATCATGATTCCCCAATCCTGTCTTTTAGGTCCTAAAACCTATGCAGCACACCAATGTGGCGCCGATGACCATATCGTTATATATACAGATTTTTTTTTTTTTTTTTTTTTTGTATAGTGAGGTAGAATTTTATATAATTGGAACACTTTGAAATCATCAAGTCATGTCTTATTATGCTGTCTGGCATAACTAATTTATTCTTGATTAGTGAGTAAGAGAAAAGTAAAAAAAGACAAACTTACATATTTGCGAATCATGGCCATCTGGACAGGATTGTTCTTAATACAAGAAAGGGCTTGCTGCTCACGTTGCCGAATCATAAGCAAAGGATCCGAGTGGGGAGCTTCCTCCAAGCATCATTGGCAGATTTAGGCTTTTCTTCGAACAGGGCTTCCAGCACAGATGCTGATGCCTACTGCTGGAGAATCAGTAATCACAAAGGATCATAAGAAACATGACTTTGTAGTTGCACTACATTTTATAAATATCGTTGATGCACACCTTTGGGAACTTAAAGATCACGAATACAAATACCTTGGAGGTGGTAGAGGAGGAAGGCGCTTCTTCGGTCTTGGGTAAGGCTTCAAGGGTGTTGAGACTATCGGAACCCCTAGGGCACCCAACGGCCAATCCCGAACCATACAAGAACTCCAACCACTCTTGCCTCGTGCAAATAACAATCAATTGCAGTTGATTAGGGATTAATTGACGAATTTGAAGAAAAAACAAAGACCCCATTTTAGGGCATTTCCATCATTTTGATTTTGGGCTTTATCTGCATTTCTTTTGGTCTCTATCTCTTAAACTTTGGACCCTTATGAGTACTATCTTAGGGGGAGCTTTTTCAAGAAAATATTTCTTCAATACAAAAGAGTTAGATTATTCTTGTAAAACTCTTCGTGGATTGAACATCTAAGGCTTTTTACCTAGATTGATCTTAGATCCCTTCATGCATTCATATCATACATATTGCAAAATTGTTTTATGTAAAAATATTGGCTAAGTATGAAAAATGGTTTTTCAGAATAATTATTTTCTCAAGATAATTTTTGGTGGTTTTTATTCCTTACATATTAAATAAGAAAACTTAATTTTATGGGATTAATATGAAGCATATATTGACTTAATGAGCCATCATTTTTAGCCTAAATTGTATTTTGCACTAAAATTGATTTTTCATATTTTGATTTGGTGAGAATTTGATTTTTTAGTATTTTTATCTGAGTCCAAATGGGGGGTATTTTCTTAATTACATTGTAAACTTCAGTAAATGGAGTAATATAAAAATAAATGTTGAAAATGGAAATAAGGCAATCTATACAAAGTCATCTCCTGCTTGCTGTGCTGCGCCCTCTGGAGCATTTCATCAAGCAATTTGTGGGCAATTTGCAGGGGTCAACATTTTCGCCTCCAATGGTGGATTACGGGCTTGCAGGGGTCAATTGACCTCTCTTGCCCCTATGTGGATCTGCCCCATCCCTTATTATTCAGAAATTTCAATGTCATTCTTCTTCTTCTTTTTCTTCTGCTTCAATATTCGAATGAATGAACGAAAAGGTTGAATTTAAATGACCAATTTCAATTTTAATTTTGCAGTCTCTCTTCCTCTGAGTTATATGCGTGGCGAGCGTTGTCCTTCACCACCTTGTCACCCGTTATATATTGGGAAAAATAAAAAACAGTATAGGTGGATTAATTTAAAAGAAAAAAAAAATTCAAATTGGATGATATTTTATTATAACTTTTTTTTTTTAAATATCGAAATTTCAATATAGAAATTTGGTAAAAAAACTCAAAAGAAACAAGCTCCTCTCAAACACACCCAAAATATTTTCAAAATGGCGGAAAAAGCCCCTTATCTTTAACATCAACGACATGCAAGTCCTAGGCCTCTCTCCTCCACCAAAGACCAAAGCAACATGTGAAGTTCTTGTCCATTTTCAATAGCAGCACAGTAACAGTGGCAGCAACACAGTAATAGTGTCAGCAGCAGCAGCAACAATTCAGCAGCCCATATTTTAAAAGCTTTGTTTGTTTATACATGTGAATACATCTAAAATGGGCATGTGAATTTGTTGGATTGTATAGTGTGTGCATGTGAAGTGTATATTTTCGTTGGCTTATTATCACAAAACGTCCTTAAGGTTTACGAAACTATCAAATTGCATCCTTAATGGTTTTTTGTGTTATTCGTGGTCCTTAAGGTTAGTATGTGTGATCATAAATGGTCCCTGTCGTTAGGTTCCGTCAAAAACTCCATTAGTTCATTGACATGGCATATATATATATATATATATGCCATGTCAACAAACTAATGACTTATTATCACAAAACATCCCTAAGGTTCACGCATCTATCACAAATGGTCATTGCAAAATTTTTAAATTTTTACATTTAAAAATATATATTATATTTTAAATACATGTGACACTATATTATTGTACATGTGGGTTTCATATGTATGCCACATCAACAAACTAATGGAGTTTTTAAAAAATAATTTATAATTCATAAAATTTAAACATAAAAAAAAAACTAAGGGTTTAGGGTTCATAAATGGTCCTCAAGATTAAAACCTTTCTATAGTTTTTTCATTTATAAATAATTTAAAAAAAGAAAACCAAAATTTTATGAATTTTAAATTAAAAAATTAAAAATTTTCGTAAGGACCATTTGTGATAGGTGTGTGAACTTCAGGGATATTTTGTGATATATATATATGTCATCTCAGCAAACTAACGGAGTTTTTTACAAAACCTAACGGTATGGACCATTTTTGATCGCACATATTAACCTTGAGGACCACGAGTGACAAAAAAAAAAATTAAGGATGTAATCTGATAGTTTCGTAAACCTTAGGGACGTTTTGTGATATTAAGCCTATTTTCGTTTCTTTTGAACCAGTTTGGGCTTATATAAAAATATACAAAAATGTGAATTGTTCATACAAAAAAAGCCACTAGATTTCATACAAGTTTATTATATTTTCACTAATATGAAAGAACGGTTAAGTGTTGATGCAAACTCAGATCCTCTAAGCATGTAATTGTTCTTGCAGTCATTCATGTATTGTCTCTATCTTCGTACTATGCGTTTTCTCAAATAATTATGCATTATGTTTTCTTGTGGTCTCTTTTGGTTTCAGTGTCATGTCTTTATGTTACATGTATAAATTCAAAATTTGCAGAACATACGCACAACAATGGGTTTAAGTATAGAACACCTCGATTAAGAGCATCTCTAGTGGGGGGTTGTATAATGAGGTGTATGTTAAATATACACCATTTGTGATCGGAATCACCTAAAATGGGGAGGTGTAAACGATTCTAAATTTGCATAACAATCGTGAGATGCAAATGTGTATTCTTTTTTACATCCCTTGCATGTTACATGAGAAAAAGTAAGAAAATGTGGACAAAAGTGAACAAAATCAATTATACATATTTAGATTTACATCTTCCTTATTGGAGCAAAAACCACATTTACAACCCCCAAAGGTACAGGGATATAAAAGTGGCTTTATACCCTTTAGCCTTCTTCAATCGTTTCCATCGTTGTTCTTCATGCAACTCAGCATCTATTTGCTTCTCCTTTAGCCTAGCAGCTCTTTCTTCTTCTGAAAGTTTAGGAGCAACATTTCAACGCTTGTAGTGTGATTCATTCCGACCTTTCATGGGGTATTTTTCTAGTTCTAAATTGTCATGTTTTCCCTTGGCATCACCTTGACCATCATCTCTTCCAATTTTTGTGGACTGATTCTTCTCACCTGGGCGTGCTCTGTTTTGTGATTCATCTTCCGAATCTGAATGCTTAAGGTTTTTCTCACTTCGACCTGGTCTTTTACGTGATTCATCTTCTGAATCTGAATGTTTAATATATTTCTTCTCACTTCGCTGTGCTCTGTAATGGGATATTCATCTTCGGAATCTGAATGTTTAACAGTGTTCTTCCCACTTCGAGGTGCTCTGTTACGTGATACATCTTCTGAACCTGAAAGTAAGTCATAAGATAAACAAGAAATTAATGGAAAACAGATTTCCTTGTGTACATGCTTAAGCCAATGCCATTAGACCTCAAACCTCTAAATAAAAGTCAAACCTCCAGGAAAGTAACTAATACAAAACAAAACAACATACATGATATTCTTTTCAGATCTGCATTCACTAAGCATAAGCAACTAAAAACACTAACCTTGATGAAGCCATATATTCTCACATGTTATCAAGAAGCACATGTGTAAAATAGAAATCAGCTGGAATGAGACAAACGAGCCGAAGTCCTTTACTAATGGGGTTTAAAACTGGCGTTGAGAGTACCATAACATGAGCAGTGACCTGAGTCTTTATAGGCAGTCGACCTTCAGAGTTTGACCCATGAAGACACCCTCAAGATAACCTTATATATGTCTATAATTCTATCAACTAAATCCACATTGAAGTAGTAACCGCTTTATCCTATTATACAACCATATATCACAATCCTTAAGGCACCGAGACTAGCTAGTACTAATTGAACTCTAACCTTACTTGGATTCCTAGCAATCTCATAACAATTGTGATGACCAAAGACTATATTCTGACACCAGAACTTGCAACTCCAAAGATACCAAAACACAAACTTGCATATTGGAAACTGAAACCTACTGTGAACAATGCTGAGGACCCAAATGCAAATGAGACCTCCTCTCTCAGAGAAAAGAAAAACCCAAAAGGAAAAAATCATGGGATCCAGAAATTAATCATCTGAATTGCGTTGTGAAGATGCGATTGAGCAAAAATATTCCGATGAACAAAAATTTCAAAAAAAAAAAAAAAGTAAATAAAAAAAGAAAGAGGCGTCAGCTGGCAGCTGAGAGTTCCCTTAATTGACTAAAAGACATGTCACCTTCTAAAGTCGAGACCCTAGCAGGCGTGTGTGGCTAGCATTCCTCTCATTTCCATGAGCCAGGTGGACCCCGCAGCTTTTGAAGAGCAACCCTCGGCCTCCTCGCAAGTAAAATGTAACTCGACCCACATAAGGCTTTAATTGATTACTGTTTCTATCAACTTTGGGCTGCATGTTAACAGGTGGTGGAATATAATTCAGCCACACGAGCTGACTTTGTGCCTGTTAACCTTAGCCAACCTTCACCTAAACCATTTATGCGTACTCCATCGATTGTAACCGAGGCATCAACACTACAAGGGCCAACAACTGCTTCCGTAATTTCCAAAGCAGCACATAAAACCAATCTCGTGTTCTCCCATTTGAAAGTCCGAGGGATTTCAATGACAAGTTCACATACATCATCATCAGTTGCAATCTCATCACCCTTACGACAACTGAACCACTCTGGAACTGCACTGCCTGGAAGTAGAACCTCAATCTGAAACTCTTCATCTGTAACACAACATATAGCTTAATTAGTCGTACTGGTACGTGCATAGTATTAACAATGTATGTAATCTTACATATTATATAGAAAGAGAGAGAACCTGATTGAGTAAAATATTTGTCTTCTTTGAAACGTCCAACCTCAGATTATTGCATAGCCTATGACAATTAAACAAGTTCATCTTACGAATGAGTTGCAAGTCTCCGTCTTCCAATGTTGAAAATCTTTCTAGTGCTATGCAATCACCCACGTCAATGTTTTCCATACAGAGTGGAAGTTCTACAATTTCCCCAAGCCTCTTGCAACCACGCAAATCAAGCCACCACAAGTAGACAGATTTGCTAATGCACACAGGAAGTCTGACAAAATTGCTTTTGGATAGATCAATTCGCCATAATTTGGACGAGCAACTAAAATTCTCCAGGGAATCAGTGTCTGATAAATTGCATTCTGCAAAACGAATAATCCATAGCTCAGGAAATGCTAATGAGCCAACGATGTCTGACATGGTTAGAACCTCCAAAAAAGGAAGTGTGACAAGATTTGGGCACCGATTCAGATTAATAGATTTGAGATGTTGCAACCCATAAATACTTTGTGGAAGATTTGTAAGGTTTTCACATCCTTCTAAATTTAAATCTTCAAGCCCAATCAGATGTCCAATTGATGAAGGCAATGATTCTATAGCAGTTCCATCTAGTTTCAAGTCACACATGGATTCTATTTTGTCCACAATTTCTGGGAAACTCTCAAACTTATTGCACTTGGAAAGAAGAAAACGTTTGAGAGATTTCCACCTAACTTCTTTTGGAAACTTCCTCAGTTCAGGGCAGTGACGAAAATCCAATACTTCAAGCTCAAGAGATCCAACGGATGGAGGAACCTCAACTAATCTTGTACAGTATCTTGCATGCAAGAACTTTAAGTTTGGGTTGCAGGATAAGTCGGGGATTTCAGTTAGGTTTTCAGAGTGCCTTAAATCTAGAGATATCAACCTTTTCAAATGCTGTGAAACCAAAAAAGAATCAAAGAATCAATTAAATTTACAACATAGATAAGTTAATAAAAGAGACCTCTTAAAAATAGGAGAGTTCTACAAAATCTCCTCCTACCGTCAAACTCAAATTAACTCACATTCTATTAAGAAGGGTCACACACTTTGCATTTCTAAAAACAAAAAGAGAATCTTAGAAACATTTTGGGGGTGAAGGATAGAAATTGGATATGGGCAATAGATACCCAAACAGAGATGCCTTCTCCTTTCTCAACATGGCTGGCCCGATTTTTGCATCATTCATATTCGCCACCTATAACATGGGTACATGGTAGTTTTTTATGTTCAATAATTCACGCTTAGCACCCAATTATTAACTATCGCCGATATAAATTTATGTATTTTTACATTTTTCAGCACATACAGACGTTGTTACATAAGAAGATCGTAAAAACAAATATAAAAATATCACGGGTTCATATTAGGACTAATAATACAACACAAGGTCATTATTATGCCATCAAAATAATCAAGAGGAAGTCGTCTTGAGGTGTCTCGCCAAGAGGCATTCAAAAATAGAAATATCTGAAAATAAGGACAGCTAAAGATATAAAAACAAACAGTTGGGGCACCCAGCTTATAATCTCTTCCGAGAGGAAATTGACTCACTTAATGATCTGCAAGATAAAAACAAATGAGGCGTGAGCAAACAGCCTACTCATATACTCAGTCATGTAAGATCACATGCCAACTGAATCACAAAAAAAGCGCTCTCACATTGTTACAATAAACTCGTGGCAATAGATTCAAAGTAAGTTTTCAACATCCTAGAGTAAAGCCACTCACCTTTTGGTCCAGACTCGAAGTAAGTTTTCAACATCGACACCTAAGAGAGTACACAAAACGTAATTAACTTACAATTCTTCTATGATTGAAACACACTAAATGGTAAACAACAATACAACACGTGAAAATATAGGCTAATAATAAAAAAAATAAAAAAAAGTAAAGTGATGCATTCATTTTCATCAAACTGAACTCACATTGAAATGCAGAGAGAGGTCATATTTTTGTTCTATTTCTGGATCAAACTTCATCATCATCTAATTCATATTCATCATCATCCAATTCATTTTTATCATCATCTAATTCATTTTCATCAATATGTTTGCCATCATCATCACCGTCCTTTGGCATATTGATAGGAGCCAGGTGGGCCCCACTGCTTTTGATGCGCAACCCTTTGTCGACAACAGTAACTCCAAAACTACGAGACAGCTGCCTGTGAGCAAATGATAATGGAATACATTCCAGCCACACATTACCTGCCCTTGTCTCTCCTCCAGACACCTCCAACCTATCTAGACGATAATAATACAATTCAAATAGAAGAGAACAAGGGCTAACAAATGATTCCGTAATTTCCCAAACAGCACACAAAACTAATTTTGTGTTCTCCAATAAGGAAGTCCAAGGAATTTCAATAGGAAGTTGGTAATAATGAGCACTCCTGCCATCAATATCTTTGGCAATGTTGAAAATCTTTCCAGTGACACACAATCAGCCACATCGATCCTTGCTATAGACGCCGGAAGTTGTCCTAGAATTTCTTCAAGCCTCTTGCAACCCCTCAAATTAAGCTCCCACAAGTTGACACATTTGCTAAAGCACACAAGAAGACTGACAAAATCGCTTTTGGATAGATTAATTATTGTTAAGTTGGACCAGCAACAAAAATTCTCCAAGGAATCAATGTTCGATGCATTGCACTCTTCAAAATACATCACCCCCGGCCTCACGAAGTCACCATCGTGTGGACTGTTTGCGTTGGTTTGAACCTCCAAAGGAAGTGATTCTGCACTCGATAAAACTTCAGAGATCAAGTTATTTGGAAGTGTGACAAGTTTTGGGCATCGACTGAGATTAATATACCCCCGATTTTGCAACTGATAAATACTTTGTGGCAAATTTGCAAGGTTTTCACATCCTTGTAAATCTAATCCTTTAAGCCCATTGAGATTTCCAATTGATGAAGACAACTCTTCTATAGCAATTCCACCTAACCATAACTCTTTCAGGGCATTGAAATTTCCAAAGGATGAAGGTAGTTTTTGTATTGTAGTTCTTGTAAAATTTAACTTTTCAAGCGCAGTTAGATGTTCAATTGGTGCAGGCAACTCTTTTATTGCACTTTCAGATAAGCTCAATGCTTTCAGCCCAATGAGATTTCCAATTGATGCAGGCAACTCTTTTATAGCACTTTTAGATAAGCGCAATATTTCCAGCCCAATGAGATGTCCAATTGATGCAGGCAACTCTTTTATCACAGTTCTCCCAAGGTCCAATTCAATTAAGGAGTCTATTTTGTCCACAATTTCTGGGAAACTCTCCAACTTTATGCAACCGTTAAGAAGAAGAAAATTCAGAGATTTCAACCTAACTTTATTTGGAAACTTCGTGAGTTCACAGCAGTAACAAAAATCCAATACTTCAAGTTTATCAAGATATCCAACAGATGGATGAACCTCGACTAAACTTGTACAACCATTCGCATTTAAGTACCTTAAGTTTGGGCTGCTGGATATAAGTCAAGGATTTCAATTATAGGAACTGAGATCTCTTGAAATTCAGAGATGTCAACTTTTTCAAATACTATGAAAATAATAATAATAATAATAATAATCAAATGGATAGCATTAAAGAAATTTACAACATACACCAGTTGATAAATGAGACCTCTTAAAAATAATAAGGGATGAGAGATAGTTTAAAGTACCTGCAATCTATCCCCTATTTGTTTGATGCAGTTGTAAGGCAGACTGAACACAACTAGTGCCTTTGGACTAAAGTTGGCTGGCCAAGATCGGGATGCACGTCTTTTCCAATCAAGCACTCTCAAATTGTTTGGGATATAACTAGGGTCTCCACAAAGGCATACGTTGTAGTTCATGAGAATTTTAAGATTTTTCATCTTCGAGAAGCTTCTGCCAACATTCAAGAATATCTCATAACTTTTTTTGGGGAAATTTAACATGATGCCTGTGATTTTATTTGTCCCCTAATAGAAAAAAGAAAAATGTACTAAGTGTTACAAAGTATTTATAAAAATATATATATATATTATACTCACTACTACAAAAAAGGCAAAAGACGACGGGAATTCATCGTCGTGTATTCGGTTTTTAAACCGTCGTGAAATCAACCGACATCCATTTGGGTGTCAAACTACGATGGCTTTTCACCGTCGTTGTTTATCTGTAACGATGTCGGTTTTTAAAGAAAATTGTCGTTGTTTAGAGGTAAAGATCGTTAATTATAGGAGAAAAGACGACTGTTTTTAATAAAACCGTCGTGTATTGTATGTAAAGAGGACGATTTTTTATGAAAACCGTCATGGATTTTTTATAAAGACGACGGTTGTTTTATAAAAACCGTCATCTTTACATTCAACAGACGACCTTTTTAAAAATAGGTCATCTTTACTTAACAATAGACAACCCTTTTAAAAAAAAAACCGTCATCTTTACATATAATAGACAACCTTTTTTAAAAAAAACCGTCATCTTTACTTCATAATAGACAACGGTTTTATAAAAAGCGTCATCTTTACATATAATAGACAACCTTTTTTAAAAAAAACCGTCATCTTTACATATAATAGACGACGGTTTTTTTTATAAAAAACGTTATCTTTACATATAATAGACGACCCTTTTAAAAAAGAATCGTCATATTTACCTATAATAGACGATCCTTTTTTTATAAAAACCGTCGTTAATTATCTGTAAAGACCATGATTTATTATAAAAACCGTCGTCTAATAAGTTTCCAAACTGCTACATTTTAGTTCTTTTTTATTTCCTATGATGCTATACAACGATTTTAACTAGAAAAACAACCATAATGCTTTATTAATGAATATATACAATCAAAAATAGTTTCTTTCATAAAACTTGAAGATTCAATAGTTATTACATAGTTAACCAATCTTTATTCTACAACAAATATAATTCCTATCAAGACCTACATACTCCTAATCCAAGCATTCCTCATCCAAACATACAAATGATGCACAACTGAAGTCTCCTCCATCATCCCTGTAAATAAATCAAAATGACAAAGAGAGAAAAAAAGAATCTAAGATTATAAACATAAAAAATTAGGTGGAAGAGAAATTTTATCATTGGTCCATATTTCCATAGAAAACTTGTAAAATTAGAATAAAAAAGACCATCGAGAACCTGCAAATTTTCAATAACAAAAAAACATACGACTCACATAGAAAACCTGCGAAAGAAAAAGTTATAAATCTGCAAGCTTCCTCCTCATCTCATGATAACCAAATCAGAAAATCTAAAAAGAAACCATAAATATAAAAAAATATGTAAACAAACTAGACAAATCAAAAGAGACAAAATCTGAAATTAGGAAAACAAAGAACATACCAGAAACACAAAAAGACTAATCCAGAATTCACTAGCAAGATATAGAAGGGTATTAAGAGATTAGGTCACTTTCAAATCAAACCTTTCAACCAGCTTTGATTCTCAAATACAGAACATCCATCTACATCTTATGGATCTGCGAAGACCTCAATCTCTCAACTCCTTCATTGATATCGATTTTTTGATGATTTTGTAGAGAGTTTCAAGAGGGTGTTTTAGAGAGTGCATGAGGGTTTCAAGGAGGGAGAGATAAGGTTTTTAGAGAAGGGGAAAATCTGAAAATTTGTCGAGAGCGAATTCACTTAAGCGGCCATTTTTTAGCGTGTTTTAAAAGACGAAGCTTTTTAAAAAAAAAATTTGTCATCTTTACATATAATAGACGACGGTTGTTTTATAAAAAAAAACCTTCATCTTTACATATAATAGACGACGGTTTTTATAAAAAGCGTCATTTTTACATATAATAGACGACGGTTTTATAAAAAGCGTCATCTTTACATATAATAGACGACGATTTTTTAATAAAAAGTGTCATCTTTACTTCATAATAGACGACTCTTTTTTAAACAAACCATAATCTTTACATATAATAGACGACACTAGTGGATA